AGGCCACTCCGTTCCCGTTTCCCGACAGCCTTCAGAGTCCCCGGATCTCCGGTGCCCGGCACTCCCAGGCGGAATGCCCCTTCTCCTTACAGCGGTGTCGCCACTCTGGCCGCCTCCTCCACCCCGTCTGATTCCCTGGGTGCCCCCTCTGCTGCCCAGCAGGGAGCGCCCCTCTGGTTGTGCCCGCCGGTCTCCTCGAACACGCCATCAGCCTGCTCAGCCAGAGCCAGGGCCTGCTCCAAGGAGACTGGAGTGGCCAGCATCATGTGGCGCTGCACCTCAGCCAATGCTATGGCCCGGAGGAATGCATGGAGCGCTATATTCCAGTAGACCTCCTCTGGGAGAGTAGGGTAACCCTGGAGGGCTAAGTAGGCCACGTCTGTGGCAAACTGCCCCAGTTCCTCTCCAGCTAGGCCGTGATGTCCGGCCAACCTCACCCGCAACAGTCCCGGCGCCTGCCCTCTCCCGCCGAAATGCCTTCAGAGGGCCGATGCCAACATCACGTAGTTGAATTGCTGGTCCCCGGGTACAACCAGCTGCGCCTGGTAGGCCTTCCCCTCTAGGACCGTGGCGAGGTGGCCTGCCATTTCCACCTGAGACCAGCTGTTTGCCCAGGCAGCCATCTGGAACTGGGCCTCAAAAAGTTGCCATGGAACCTACCCATAATCGGCTCAGTTGCACCGGTGCTGGCTGGTACAGGGGTGGCGGGCTGGACCCTGCTTGTCTGGCGTCTCCTTCCCGCCTCGGCGACACGGGAAAGGGTCCCTCCTATGCTGAGAAGGCCACCGTTGGGTAGTGAGCGGCCGTCCTGGCCCCTGGCGGCTGCTGCTCGCCCCCAAAAGGCGCTCAAGGGGGCCGCTCAGCTGCTGGGGGAACCGGTGCTTCTCTGAGTCCGACCTCAACGGCTGTTCACTGTCTATCCTCCCGCTTCTGACACCAATGTAGCGAATTCGGGTTCGGTAAGGACGGACACAGTGACTCAGACTTCATGGAGTGAAAAACAGCGCTTTATTTATTTCGGCACAACCAGACAGACAGCACTCCCGTGCATGCCAGCTTGTTGTGATAATTTGGATGACAATAAATTAAGCATTTATCATTGAGACTAAAAATGTTTGCTTGTCTTGATAGGGGTGTACCAGAAAGGCTTATTAATAATACAGGTATTAAGTTTGCTGCTTCCTTGCCAGTCCCTCTCTCCTTCATTTCAGTGTTGCTGGACACAGAGAGGCCATTCCATTTGGTTCAGATTTAAGGTTTTTTTCTAGCTGATAGAGTTTAATGATAAGGTACAGCTCCCAAGGCTGAGATTCTCCATCCACCCTAATAAATGGTCATCTCTGGTGCCTTACTGTCTGGAAGATACCATGGGAAAGTCTCATCCCAAGGTTTACAACCCTAAGGTCAGAGTGCATTGTTACTCATCCTCCACCTCAATCAGCCAATCAGGAACTGGTAGGGCAGGACAACGCCACGTGGGGCTCGAATGCCCACAAAACTTTCAACCAATGAACGACCGTGGTTTCTCCAGATAAAAGAGGCAGCACAAGGCCCAGAAGGTGCCCCTCCAGGACATTTTCAGACTCATCTGCCAGGACTTTGGCCAGGACTACTTTGTTTTAAGAGTTGAGACCGGAGGTCGCCCGTGCGTAACCAAAGGATTTGCCCAAGGTTAGCCCAGCAGCAAACCTCGTGAACCGTCGGTACCCCACCGTGAACACTCGCCTGATCAACGAGTGAACTACGGTTGGAACTGTCGACAGCTGAAACTCGGGATTCAGGATTAGCTCTACATCAGGAACGAACCGGTCTTCTTCCCGTCTAAAGAGTGTGACTTGCTCGAACCCGCAGTCACTTTTCATGTGCACAATCTCTTCTAGTTAAGCCAGGATTAACTAGCCGGTCTTCAGAGAGTAACTCCCAGCACGCCACAGCAGGAATCTCTCCCTCCTTCTCCCCCAGCTCACTCTGAACCATGACTGCCTGGCACCATGCCAGAGGACGCTTTGAGTCTGCGGGAGATCTGAATCTACACAGATTGGATGAATATTCAACATTCTGCATTACAGCTCGAGAATTCAATTGTTACCTCAACCCCAGTTGATATCAATTTAATTCCTATGAGTGATGTACTCACTTTTGAGTATCTAGTGTAATCAAAGCTCATTAACGAAACAGTATAAACGAATGGTATATTGAATGTATGTCTCTCTTGATATTTGTAACTCTTTGTGATTGAATATATGCCTTTTGTATTCTGCTAACCCTCTTAAGATCTGTTATTTTTATATGCACATTTTATGTATTAATAAATCTATTGTCGTGTATTAGTATCCGTGTGTGTGTTGCTGTTATCCCACAAGGTTGGTCTTCTAATAGACATCAAAGAATCATTTTGTGACTTACAGCTACAATTAATAATTGTCCCAGTAAATGCACAAAACCCCTACAAAACCCCATCCTCGTGAGAGGATGCCTACATGTTCAATCTCCAATCAGAAGCCTCTCTCTCATCCTAACGTCCACTTTGTCGGCATGCCCGTCTCCATTTGGTGGTTTGAGTTGAGTTGCCATTAAATGCGAGAATACTCCAACTGGTGCGTCGCTCCGCCTGCCATCAGAAGTGGGGGAACACAAAGTAATGTAGCCAATTCATAGAGGGGGATTATTAGGAGGCATGGGAAATCTGGCCAGGACGCCAGGGTTACACCCCTACTCTTTTCAAGAAACATCCTGGGATTTTTAACGACCACAGAGAGTCAGGACCTCGGTTTTACGTCTCATCTGAGAGACGGCACTTGTTTACAGTATAGTGTCCCCATCACTATATTGGGGCATTAGGACCCACATGGACCACAGGGTGAGCGCCCCCTGCTGGCCTCACTGACACCTCTTCCAGCAGCAACCTTAGTTTTTCCCAGGGGGTCTCCCATCCAGGTACTGACCAGGCTCACACCTGCTTAGCTTCAGTGGGTTGCCAACTTTAAGTTGCAGGGTGACATGGCTGCTGGCTTCAATCAGAAGCCGATCATGACTTAAAGTTACTTCTCTGTTTTGTAACAATGGAAGAAGTAGAGGGAGAGGATAGGTAAGAATGACAGGAGGTATAGGAAGAGGAAGAATTGTCTGTGAAATGTAACTGTGTTTGACCGTGAGGGAAGATGAGCAGTCCAGACAAATTTTAGCCACTTCACTGTGGCCTCGATTATTCAGACATTCATCAATGAAAACAGGTAAGTCACCACCATCTTCAGGAATATTTGAATATTGTAATGTACTTCTCCAATCTACAGTAATTGTACAACCAATGCAGTATTCTCCAACCTCTTGTTCTCTACTTTGCAGTATCGATACCATACCAGTAATTACAGCACTGTACTGTGGAGTACTGTGCATTACAGTAGAGTAAGAGGGACACAGTGCCAATGTGTCACAGTACATGTATCACATGATCTTGGGAGTTTTCATACTTTACTGTATATTTTGAATACAGTAGTACTGTAAAACTACCGTAGACTACTGTAATCCCCCTACCACCTTTTTTTGGCAGAATTGAGAGATGACTGGTGGATAATAGACCACAACTATTTACTGCAGAGCAATAAACTTTCATTTTCAACATGGTTTTAGTAAGCAATTCCACCTGAGATACAGAGTCAAGTCATTCAGAACAATGTCTTATTTCAAGGAATTGACCAGGTCGGTTGAAACATACTGTACCAGGGCTTATTTTTGCCAATGCCTGGCAAGGGAAAACGTAGTCTGTCATGTTAACAAAAATCTCTGGCCTGACCTAGGTCAGAGGCAGGATGCTGAGAATAAACTAGCAGAATAAACTTTCTATTTGTTTGTTACTGTATAATTATTACAGTATAGACTGCCATACAATTATTTTGTGTACTGTGTAGTACAGTACTTAGGCTACTTGTGCTACTTTTTAATTTGTCAGGTCAAATCCCAAAATAAAATGGAGTCCTTGCACTTGCTTCCTGTCAAAGTTCGTGTCGACTTCAAAGTTCTCATTCTCACCTTTGGCTCTGCATGGCTTGGCACTTCAGTACCTGTCTGAGCTATTATTGCCCTACTCCCCACCTTGCAACCTTCACTCTTCTAATTCTGGTCTCCTATCTGTACTGAAAGTCCATCTACACTCTATCGGTGACAGGGCTTTCTCCTGTTATGTCCCAAAGTTCTGGAACTCTATTCCCAAATATATTAGAGAGTCGCTTTCTGTAAACTCCTTCAAATCCAGACTCAAAACCTTCTTTAGAAGAGCCTTTACTTAACTGGTTCTGTTCTTTACCCCTCTGCTCCTGCTGTATTTAGTACCATCATGTACTGTGTAACTGTGTATTCTCATTGGCATATCTTGTGTATTTTTTTATTGTTGTTGTCATTCTGTAAAGCACTTTGAGAAGCTTTAAAGGTGCTATATAAAATAAACAATTTTGTTATTAAAATAAATAACAATATCTGTTTCTGTGTTTGCTACATAACACCATTTTCACAATACACAATGTATCACAATGTTGCAAGTCATCGATTTGAAGAGATTGTAGAGATAATGCTGGAACACCTAATGCTATTATAGTGTTTTTTATTGATCTCATCACTGTTTAGTATGTTCTCTGTAGGTCCTATTAATTTGATGGGTTGTGTGTGCCTATTGAACACAAAGTTTGTTTTAGATGGAAAATACCATGTTTTTAATAGAATGTTTAATTTTGTTAAAGACTTCTGTTTGCACAGTTGGATGTGGATTTTGACTTTTGAGTTTATAGTTTTGAGAACATGGAGTATCATTTCAGAATTATACACCCGTAGAAAGCTCCACAGCCGAAACGTTGTGTTTTCTTTCTTCTCTTTTCAGCATGGAATAAAACTATTACTTGTTTCTTTCAGAAGAATATGTGTAAATGAAAAAAAAATTCACATGACCACATCGAATGCTCTGTCACTTTAAATCTTTCTATGGTTCAGTAGTTCAATAACGTAACTCCTCCCTGCTTTAGGGTGCAAAAATATCTTTTGTTGTCAAGTTATTATATTGCTTTGCTCAACCTACAGTTACTTTGTTCTGTTTGTTACTGACAGGAGAAGCTGCTTCACTTTCCCAGAATTTGCAGCAAACAGCGATGGAGCTGTTCGAAATAAGGAATATTTCGATAATGTCTTTTGATCCAAGTCGCCTTTATAGTTTAATCGCAGTATTTTTGTTAGTAACAGTAACATTTAAATTATCGAAACTGTTTAATAATAGAAAACAGGCGCTTAAGATCCTCGAAAGCTTCCCTGGACCCCCAACACATTGGCTTTACGGGCACGTTCATGAGGTAAATACTTCCAGTCTGAATGAGAATGGGCGGATTCAATGTTACTTGAATGTTACGCAAGCAAAGGACAATCTATTAATCTGATGTTTCAGTATTTTACATTTACAGGCCGTAAATTCATAAATAACTGGAAAATAGACACACAGACATTTGGTTTAATTATACTCACATGAGTAATGTTGGCTTCTGAATGTGATGTTATTCAGTACACGAGTTTATCTCTGCGTTTGTAATCGCAGAAGAAGTATTTCTGGGAAGTGGTTGTTGTGTTTTTTTTGTTCCTTGTTTTGAACAATTGCCGTTAAGTTCTACAGGGTCATTATTATATGTTTGCACCAATTATTGTCAGAAGACCGTAGGATCTGCCGAAAAATTCGGCTATAATGTAATTTATTGACAACGTGCTTGCAGTGAGACGGGATACGTGTTAGAAAACATTGAGTTTTATAGTAAAGGACACGCATCCCATCTTGGCTGTACAATACAGTTGTTAGGTTATGTTACAGTACATAACTTTTTTTTTCAATTTGTCAGTCTGCATCCATGGAGATTGATATTTCAGTAACACAGTTTTGGATTAAGATTATAGTATAACTTTACAATTCTTGTATATTTTAAGGCATTACACTTCTGTGCTGTTGGGTGGCTATCTTGACTAAGTGGAACATTATGTGTTGTAAAAGTTTTAAGTGTTATAAAGTAAGATACACTACTGCTCCAAAAGCTTTCGGGAATTATTTGTGTAGTAGCTCTGCCATTTACAAAACATGATGTTTTGGTTTTTTTTTCTTATGGATATAGTTTGGTTACTGAAGGCTTGCACTTGCAACTGTAATTACAATAGAAAACAAAGCTATCGTATAATACTGCAGTTTGTCTTGTGGTAAAACCATTCTTTTGTAGGCATAATGGGAAATAACAGGTTGGGAGAGACTCTTGGTTTCCCTCCAAGCTGTCACACACAGTACTCTACCTGCTTTTGCAGCATTGGCTTCGGAGCATGGCTCTCAAATCAGTGCTCACAGGCTGTTACAATGGTGTCATAGTTCTCAAATACTTCCTGTAACAGGTCCAGGAGAACTCCTTGGGCCTTCTTATCTACACTTAATGACTGGTGCACAAGCTATTCTTCCCCTAACTAATGCGTTAGTTGAGTTGCCCACTTGAATTTGGTCCTAAAAGCCTCGACTGGGTCTTGCATTGAGTAATGTCTTGCGGTCAGTGGCACTCCTGAGGTCCAGCCTTCACTTGGACCCCCTGGCTTTAGGCCTTGGCCCAAGGACCTTCGTTTGACTCCAGACTTTCCTGTAGCTGCTCGTGCCTGCACTCAATCCCCCTTGACTTGGCCTAAAGCACTTTGAGTGGAGTGTCCAGAAATGCACTATATAAGTGTAAGGAATTATTATTATTATTATTATTATTATTATTATTATTATTAATAATAATAATTCCTTCTTGCAGTAAGTTTTACCATTCCTAAAGTCTACTTGTCATCTTTTTTTCAGTCCTGTTATTTTAGGCCTACCTTGAATTCTTGCGCGGGGGAGTCCACTGTCCTCAGTGTGCTTGTTGCTACTGCTCCACTGTGGCTACTGACTGAGTGTTATTCCACTGTGCCCCCTGGTGCCATGTTACTAGTTGATATGGTTCATCCTGCTTTGACCCACTTTGATGCAGAATGTGGTAGACTTTCAAGTCCAAGAGACAGACTGTTTTCTGTCTTTTGTTTTACCAGGGACAGTGTCACTCTGGTCTAGTGGACCTGAGTGCCTGGCTAGCAGCAGGGTACATGCCTCAGATGTGTGGGATTCTCTGGGCCCAGAGTTCTTTTTTCCCAGAAGGAACTAGGCTGGTGAAATGAGCAGAACGTCTGGGGTTTACCATTCTTTCCTATGAGGGGTCCATCCAGTCTTGATGGAGCACCACCAGAGTGCCCCACTGGCAAAAGCGTTCTTTATCTGGTTTCACTTATCTGCTCCATAACCGCGCACTGGCCACCAATTTGTCCTGCTTGGGACTGCCTCCTTGCATCCAGTGGGATCTGCAGACCCAGACCTACTGCTTGGGCTAGAAAGGCTGCTTCCTCAGCCAGACTTCACACCTAAGGCCAAACTGCTCTCTTGCGGCTCTGACCATGTAGTCATGGGCGGTCTCCAGACCTGAGTCTTGAACTGTATTTTGACTCAACTGTTATAGGGTTTGGTCTGGGTGTCACCTGAAGATCACCTCTCTTGGCATCTGGAGCTCTCTACTGAGCTTTAGGAGGGCAGGGGTGCAACCAGTGGAATGCACTACGAAAAAACATCTAGGACCACAAGGGGCAGCTGCATGTCCCAGTCCTTCTGGTGTTGTTCATTTGCCAGGGACAGGTGTGTTTCCAAGTTGCAGTTAAGGAGGCCACTCCCTTGGGGATATAGGGGATGGCTATAAACTTATGGATACCCAGCCGCTTGCACATGGCCTGGAACATCCAGGACTTGAAGTTCCTGCCCTGTTCAGTGCGGAGTTCTTTAGACACCCCGAACTGTTTTAAGAACCCCCCTATTAAGGCCCAATTCACAGTCTCTGCCTCCATGTCTGGTAGGCCATAACCCATGGTGTGAAGTTGTCCATCACGAACAGCATGTATCTGTTGCACCAGGACTTAGAGGGAAAAGATTTCAGGATGTCCATGATGGCTGTCGCCATGAGCACACTCACCAGCAATGGGTGCGGAGTAGCCCTTGAGGGGCCCAGTGGTCGTTTCCTGGCAGTGTAGGCATCACAGCATCAGCACTAGTCAGTGGCATCCTGTCCCTAGTCACATATTTGTCCAGCCCACACCCACTGTCAAGCCTCCTTGAGTTCTAGATTGGCTTCCTGCCCATCCTCCCAAAATGGTGCATGGTAAGACAGCCTAGTCCAGCAGTTTGTGGTCAGGGGGTAGTCACCAAGATGAATAGTAACTACGAGTCTGATGTGGTAAGAACTGGAACAGTGTAGGGCACCTCTTTGAGGGTGTCAAAGGCTCTCTGCCTCTTATCCACATGAAGGGTTTGCCTTTCTATGTCAGATCATATAGCAGGGTGGTGATGGTGGCCATCCTTGCCATGAAGCACCGGTAATAAGAGGCAAGTCTGGGGAAGCTTCTTGGCGGTTAAAGGGTGATAGGAGTTGGCCATCTTCCAACTGCACTCACCTTGTGCTGCATGGTGGTGATCCTGATCCTGCTCACTTGATGCCCCAGGAACAACACCTCTTCCTGCAGCTTGTGGCGCTTCTTTGGGTGCAACTTGAGACCTGCCTGACCTTTTACAGACCACTGAAGAAACTTGGAGAGTGCTATCAAAAGAACTGCCATGCACGATTAAGTCATCTCGGCATACTGTACCAGGTACTGGTTGGGGAGCACTGACTCCAGTACCTTCTCCATTTGCCTTTTGAAAGTGGCTGGGGTGTTGCAGTGGCTGAAGTGTATCAATCTGAATTGCTGCTGTCCACAACCGGTCTAGAAGACCAGTATGGGTTGGGACCCCTGTGTCAAATCCATCTGCCAGTAGGCACTGTGGAGGTCTTGTAATGAGAACCACAAGGATTCAGCCAGGTGGTCAAGGGATTTCTCGACCCAAGGTAAGGTACAGGAGTCTTTCAGCATGAGAATTTTTAGCTATTGGTTGTCCAAGAAGAACCATCAGGAGACACCCTTCTTAGAAAACCAAAATGATGGGATGTTGCAGTGCCAGCTTGACAGTAGTGCCCCCAAACCAGCTGTTACAATGGCATCATAGTTCTTAACTTTTTCCTGCAACAGGTTCAGGAGAACTCTTTGGGCCTCCCCATCTATAATTTTGTCCCACAGTCAGTTGCGCTGCTTGGCTACATCATTTACTCAAACACCTTGCTTCAGGCCTTGGCTGGTGACAACCGCCAGGGAGAGAGTTTTTAGTGTGTTTGGGGTGAAATGAGCTTTCAAAATGTTATGTGGCCCTTGGGACAAAAAAGTTTGCCCACTCCTGGTCTAGGCAGTATGTGGGTGCCTTCTACTTGTTAATGATTGACTTCACCACGTTTAAAGAGATATTAAGGGCCTTTGAAATGTTTTCATACCCTTTTCCTGATCTTTGCCTTTATATTACTTTATCCGTAATCTTCATGGTGGATCTTTGTTTGAAATTCACTACCTGACTGAGGGATCTTCTAGAGAGAGATGTATTTAGCCACTCAACTGTGTGACTTAAGGCAATTTGTACTCCTACAATATATTAATTAAGGTTTGCAACAGCAATGGGTTTAAACAGTACAATCACTTATTTGTAAATTTGCGTACTATTTACTTGTTCTTGTGCTTGTTTTTTGTAGAGCAGGTTATGAACTGTATATAACTAATGTTAATTGCTACTCAAAGTGACTTCAAACTTTAAAGCAAACTTCAAATGTGAAAATTGTAAAAATTGACTGTCAGCATAAATTTGCATGCAATGTACTTGGATCTTATTTCTTTGCTACTTTTCCCGTTTGTTTTTCTTTTTCTGTCAAAAGTTTCCACAGGATGGGAATGATTTAGACAAGACTACAAAATGGGCAGACCAGTACCCATATGCTTTTCCATTATGGTTTGGACCTTTTGTGCCATTCTTGAACATAAACCACCCTGAATATGCAAAAACTATCCTTTCAAGTACAGGTACGAACTCCAGTTGAGTAACAATTTTTCTCAAGTTACTAAAGATGCCAAATGATACAGATATTTTGAATAGTCGAAAAAATGTATGTATGAAGAGGTATTCACACTTTGTTTGATATCAGATATTTGTACAGTTCTTGATTAAGTAAGATTAATGATTTTATATTTGCAAGAGTTGAGATAAAACTCATATTAATATTATTTTGATAAAGACTTTAATGTACAATATATATATATAAACTCTGTTCTTAGCAACATGGAACCACTCAAGAATGCCTGAGGTCTACACAGAATAACTGTAAATAATATGATAAGCATATCTACTTTATTTTACAGTTGTCAAATTACTAGCTACGGAATAAAATTCTAGGCCAAGTATTATCAAAATAATTTTATGTAGAATCTTTGACTCTGCCTTGCAGAATATCACTTTCAAATTTTTTTAGCCTATTCTGAAAAGATAATTATTATATGTGTGTATTTTTTTCAGAACCAAAGGATGACATTTCATATAGATTCCTAATTCCATGGATAGGTAATGTTTCATACATTGTTACCTGTGGATTTTTAAAATACCATCTTTGACATGTCGTATTCTGACAAAATAATAATAAAAAAGTGCACAAACACATGAAATAATTTAAATTTTATTTCATTTCATTCTAACCAGCGGAAGAAAGATTTGTATTTGTCTGGAATGTCCTCAAACAAATGATTATTTCATTTTTTAAACTTATTTTAAGATCTAAAACATCCATTTCTGTAACCAAGGTCACATTTAGTCATTTCATAGCCAGTTCTGGATAATGACTTCTGATAAAGAGTGTTTAATCATGGCTGGTCATGTTCTTGCTTTCCAGGGGAAGGTTTGCTTGTGACAGACAAACAGAAATGGTTTAGGCACAGAAGACTTCTGACACCTGGATTCCATTATGATGTCTTAAAGCAATATGTAAAATTTGTAGCTGATTCTACAAAAAGCATGCTGGTATGAACATATTTTTAGCTCTAAAACATTTATTTTCATACTTAAAAACAAATGTTTATGATTTTTTCAGGACATTAGAAATAAATTCCTAGCACAACACATTAAGAAACTGTATTGACTGTACTAAAATGATTTGACCTCAAATATCAGAGGTGGAATCTGATTATTTCGAATTATATTAAACTTTCTAAATGTGTTATTTAAATGTCCTGCACCATGTTGTATGTTGTTTCTAAAACTCTGTTTTACCATTAACATTTACAGTTCTGGAAAAACAAATGTGCTAGATTGAATTATATAAACTACTGGTGTATCAACATTGCATTCATTTGAAGCAAGTCCCCAAGCAGTCTTTAGACTCAACCTGTTTTAACTCCTATATTTGCTAAGATTAAATTAGTTAAATCAGAGTAGCTAGATTGTTTATCATCTGTTAATTCGGTTATTTCAATTATACAATTCAACACACACAGTATGCAACTCTTTTAAGACATTAAACCTTTTAAAATAGAATGAAAAGGTTATTTTGCATGCAGTATATATTTAGAAATGCACCTGCTAATTTAAGTTTTTATCTTATACAGGAAAAATGGGAAATGTATGCTGGAAAAGAGGAGTCTTTTGAAGTGTTTCAGCATGCTAGCCTAATGACGCTTGACAGTATTATGAAGAGTGCATTCAGCTGCACTAGCAACTGTCAGACTGAGAGGTCAGTATTGTAGTATTGTAGAGGTATACATTTATTTAATTATTTCTCTGTATGTTCAAGGGACACAATTAAGAGTCAAAATATACTGATGTAAAAAAGAAACGCAACATTTTCTGGAAGGAGAATACTATAGTTATAGCTTATGTACCTTCACAAAAGGTTGTCATTTGTTTTAAGCTCCGTGGCCAGCAATACAGCTTGTGCAGTGGGGCATTGCAATTTGCCAATCACACAAAAGGTGTGCACTTTTACCCCAACAAGGTCCAGGTGGAACAATGCCTTCTCAGGTCACCTTTATCACAGGTGCCGGTGGCTCTGTTGCTATCTGCACCTGTGGCTGAATGGTTGCCGGTTCGTATCCCATGGCTGGCAAAGGAATCCTACTCTGTTTGGCCCTTGAGCAAGTCCTTAACCCAACTGCTCCAGGGGTGCCTGTATAAATGGTTGACCCTGTTCTCTGACCCCAAGCTTCTCTCCCTGCCTGTGTGTCTCATGGAGAGCAAGTTGGGGTATGCGAAAAGACAAATTCCTCATACATTGTATATGACAAAAATTGTATATGGTCAAAAAAGTGATCTGATTTTTAAAAAGGCCTTAGTTCAAAGCTTACTGCAAGAAAAAGGTCACACTTAGTGAGTTTTCTGTGCATTCGATAATGTCTCGAATGTCACCAGAAGCAAGGGAGAGGGCCATTGGCAGGCATGTCATGTGCCAGCGTTGCCACACACTGTGGAGTAAGCCACTCCACTGTCTCCCAACTGCAGAGAAAGTTTCAGCAAACCGGCAGGACAGATGATCGTCCAAGATCTGGTTGCCCTCGAGTGACCACACCAGAGCAGGACTGACACATCAGACTGGTCCATTTGGCAGATCGTTTCAGATCTGCCACCTGTACTGCTGCTGAAACTGCCGACAGACACAATGCTTGCATCAGTGATGGGACAGTGAGGCTCCACGCTGCTGGACTTAGAGCAAGGCGACCTGTCAGAGGCCCTCTGCTCACACCTCCTAGACATCACACCAACTGGCTTGGGCCAGACAGAGGCTGTGATGGACTTGTCAGCAGTGGCATCAGGTCCACTTCATGGATGAGTCACTCTTCAGCCTGTTCCATGCAGATGGGAGGGCCAGAGTATGGAGGAGGAGGTGTTGCATTTCTTTTTTCCATCAGTATACCTGTATATGAAAACCTTATATAAACATTGCAAAAATATTTTATTCAACCACTAACTTTTAATACCATTCTTTGGTAATAGAAACAAGGATGGAGTTTTCTTTTTTAACAAACGACAGTACATTTTAGTTCAGGTGGTTAGCTGCATCAGCATGCATAGGCTGCAGAGGTAACAAGTTTATTCCATGCTTAAAAGGGAACGAAAACACAATGTTTCGGCAGCGGTGCCTTCTTCAGGTGTGAGCACTGTACATTTTGATCTGATTAAGAAAAACATGTTCACCCATCAAACCCATGTACATACATGAAGAAAGCATTGGTAAATCATTGACCTATTTTAATGGAGCTGAAGGGAGTAATAAATTATAAAGAGTCACACCTCTAAAATGCCAGGAGTCTATGTTGATCTGTAAAGGGATGGCACCTACTCTACCTCCTAGTGCTCTCTCAAGTTCCATAGCAATAGTGACTTCTGCAACTTCTTAGGTGCCTGCAACCTCATGATAATGTCAGTGAGGGATGTGTCTCTCTTTCTGTTGATGCTGTACTTGCTGTAATTTGTAGCAAAACTTGAAGCATGTTAAACTATCAAGTAGGTAGCTGTGTCAGCATGTGCAGGCTGCAAAGGAACAGGTAAAGGTTCATTCAGTGCGGAAAGGAAAAGAGAAGAGACAGTATTGTATGGCTGTGTATGGCTGTGAAGCCTTCTTCAGGTGTGAGGGAAAGAGAAAAACCAGCAATTAATGAGGAAAGGGTAGTTTAGAGTATGTGGGGAGCATGGGGTACCAATGTAAATAGCTGAGCATTTTCTGCAAGAGGGGCAGGGAGGTGAGACAGAAAGGAGACTGGGAAACCTTTACAGGGAATGTCAAAGACTCATAGTTTCCAATATCAGCTCTAATGGCCATGATCACACTGATATCTCTGTCTGCATCCTCACAAAGGGGTTTCAGAACTCCTATTACAGAAAGACATCCGAAACCAAAATTATCCTGAAACTAGGATCACAGTTTCCCCGTTCCCTTAACAACAGACTCATCTCCTTCCAATCCTCTCTATTCATTTGCAGGTTTTGACTTCACACCTCTCTCCAGTTCTCCCAGACTCTTGATACTCCTTCTCCCCTAATCCCTGTCTCCTCTCAGATACCCTGTCTTTTGTTCTCCCATACTTCAGTAACTGGCAGTTTCCCTCTTTCCCTCATACCTGAAGGCTCCGCAGCCGAAACATTGTGTCTCTTTTTCTTTCAGCATGGAATAAACCTTTAATTGTTCCATGTTAAAAAATAAATTATTTGGTGGGGTATTTTTAACCTTGTTAGATTTAAGTTTTCAATCAAAATAGTGTGACTATCACTGATGCATGGTAACACAATCCATGAGCTGTAGCTTCGTTGTATCCTATCTACTCTATGATTTATCATTTTTTTTACAAGGCGCCATATTTAAAAAAAAACTAAAATGTTTGTTGCGCATAAAAAGTGTTTTTTAACTATCCAGTTTTTTACAGCTTTTAAAGTCATGCATTGTTTGAGTTAGGTAGGAACACATCATTTGTATTTATTTTTGATTTTTTAAAACTAAAAAAAATTGTTTGCCCATCGTGTTGATAAACTGTTTACTGCCAATTGTAAAAAATAATCCTTTCACTCTCCCTCGTTTAATTTAAAGATTTTCGTGAAGAAATCCTTAAACACAAAACCATCACGTATAATAATTTATTCAGCTGGTTCTCTGTTGAATGACTCTGACTGACCAGGTTCAATTCCAGTACTATACTTTACTATATAGTACAGTTTAAACTTTTTTTAATTTGTTAAAGTTAAATTGTTGGCTGATTACTGGCTGCTGACATTTGGATTAAGACAAAGTATAGAGTTTCTCAATTTGGATGTAAACCTGAAAGAGGCGCATGATGTTCACAATAAGTTATAATAGTGGCCTGTTTTTATGCATTCGGCTATATGAGAAACAAACCGAAACTATTGCTCTGATCGAACTTTGAACCACCTGGGTGCAGCTCGCTACATTACAGTACTCATTACCACTACAAGGACAATTTTTTTTTTTAAAGAAATGAATGAATACAAATATTTCCAAACCATCAAGTTGTGAGAATTTAGCTGCTTAGTTACATGAGTAACTAGTTACTGCTTAGTTACATAATTGTATATTAATATAACTATAAAGTTTTAAATGTTAAATCACTACAACATTGATCTTTTTGCAATAACAGCAAGTGCTGTTCTTATTATGTATTCTTAGAAAAGGATAAAACTTTATAACTTTTTAAGAAGTAGAGAATATAAGTTTAATAATGTTAGAACAAGCACATTAAAACCAAAACCTACTGTAAGTTACCAAGTTAAAGACTCTGATGCATACAATATTTATGCATAATGGAAGGTTGTGTACTTTTGTCTAACTGAGCAATCTTGCTTTTATCAAATATACAGTCTTTCTAATGTTTAATGATTATCATGCTGTAATACACAGTTTAACAATATTAAAAGTCTAAAGAGTTTACAACTTAAATTCTTAATTGGAAAAAGATTGTCCCTCAGCAGTGACCGGGATTCGAAACCAGGTGTTTTCTGGCGACAGCTCAAATGCTGTAAATGAGACATTAAGCTTTATTAGCTCTACCTGGCAGTTTTACAAGGTGCTTCCAGATACTATTATCCTATTTAAAAAATCATGCGGTAGGATGCGGTATATTGCGCCACTTCCATCACATTTTAGCGCAGTGTACCTCGCTCATTTTGAATGGCTAGATCTGTAGTTGTACATCCGTTAGATCCCAAGCTTAAGTGATTGTATTTGCATAGTAAATTAATTGTACTTTTTCTGTCTTCTTTTCTTTCAGTGGTAAAAACACGTATATTAAGACAGTCTATGAGATTTGCAACATAATAAACCTCCGATTCAGGTTCTTCCCTTATCACAGTGAAATTCTTTTTTACATCAGCAATCTTGGCTACAGGTTTCGGAAAGCTTGCAAGATAGCACACCAACATACAGGTTTGTTATGAACTAATTATTTTATTTAATGTTTTAATCAGAATTGGAGTAATTAATTTGAAGGGGATGTAAGAGGAGAAGATACAGATATAAAATTCACACAATCATGCTTGCATTTCATCATCAGTAACCATTCCAAGGTATTACAAGTTTTGAGAAGTTAATATAAAGTGGATTTATTTCCTCATGTGAGAGGAATGCTTAATGCTGTTGAGAACTAAAATGTGAGCACCTAATGCCTTAAAACTAGGATATCTTTTCTTCATTATCATGAATGGAACAACATTAACACGGGTGCTTTTTACATGTCTTTTATGCATTTGGAATATTTTTTTATAAGTCACAAGCAATTCTGTGTTAAAGAATGCAGAATTCTATGTGCAATTCTGTGTTCTTTAGAATAAGATGCATCACTTATTACTTCAGTGATAATGTTCAGTTAAGTTTAAGTTAAATAATACACAATATTAGTCATAGATGTAATAAATGATGGAGACCTTCCAGTGGCACTCAGCTAATATAGACATTCACATGTAGCTCAGACTCCCATACATCAAGCAGCTACTCTTATGTTCTTTAAATTAGTTTAAGTTTGGTGTAAGGTGGTTTCTAGACCTATTTTGTTATGCAAGCCCCTGATTCACAATGCATTTGAAATGGAACTGGATCTCTCATATCCTAAAGCAAAATGAAAAAAAAAGTGTTGACAAGCAGCTTTTTACTTTGCAGGCCGCAGATATCAGTGTTGTGCTTTCCTACAATGATCCACTGGGGGTGAACCTGCTTTGGCTTTCTGATGTACAGCACTTTATTGTGGTGCTTAAGTACCATGTGATTGAATGGGAGGACAAAAAACGTTGAATCAACCTATGTGTTATTGGAGATAAGCTTATGTAAAGCTCTACAAAAATGGCTAACATGATTGGTCACCACATGACGTCACAGGAGAGTACAGGATTTATGACATCTGAGGTGCACAGAGGCTCAGGCTCTTTCATTTTATTTTGAAAATCCTTTGCAAAGCTGACTGACAGATGCCACTTCAGCCAACAAAGCATCCCTGTTAAACTAATTCATCTTGTATTGCAACCAAGTAAGGTGTTTTTACTTTGGCACTGAGGGTTATATTGGAGTTGTGAAAATCTCATGACTGTCAGTATTGTAATAACGATCTTGTGTTTGTGTTTGTTAGTTTAAATCTGTACCTGAAGTTCACAATTTAAGAGTTCACAGTTATATTGTTGTGCAGCAATTTAAAATATTATCTCTTCCTTTCTCATATGAGTACATTTAATCTGTTTAAAGTTAACTGTAGAATCTATTTTTTTCTTTTATTATATGGCCAGCAGCCATATCACCCTGCAACTCACAACTGACAACCCACTGAAGGTGTGAGCCTGGTCACCTGGATGGGAGGCCTCCTGAGAAAAACTAAGATTGGTGCTGGAAGTAGTGTTAGTGGGGCCAGTATGGGGCACTCACCCTGTGGTCTGTGTGGGTCTTAATGCCCCAGTGTAGTGATGGGAACACTATACTGTAAAAAGGCACCATTCTTTAGATGAGACATTAAACCGAGGTCCTGACTCTGTGGTCATGAAAAGTCCCATGGCGTTTCTTGAAAAGAATAGGGGTATTATCCCAGTGTCCTGGCTAAATTTCCCATTGGCCTTAAACACTAATGGCTTCCTAATTATCCACATCAATGAACTGGTGTCATTACTCTCTTCTCCTGCCCACTGAAAGCTGATGTGTGGTGAGTGTACTGGCACACTATGGCTGCCATCACATCATCCAGGTGGGTGCTGCACATTTCAATACTTGAAAAGCACTTGGAGTGGAGTGTCCAGAAAAGGGCTATATAAGTGTAAGGAATTATTACTATTTTTTAATGGCAAGTTTTATGGCTGTCTAAGAAAAGGTGGTTCTTCACTACCATAATAGATAAAGTCAGTGCTTAGCAATGTTCCCACTAACTCAAGAACTAAGAACATTAGCTTCTTTGTGTTTTGTTTTCCACAATGCCTTCTGATCTCTTTACAGATGAAGTGATAAAGCAAAGGAAGGAAGCCCTAAAGGATGAAAAAGAACTTGACAAGATTCATAAGAAGAGAAACTTAGACTTTCTTGATATCCTACTTTGTGCAAGAGTAAGTTACTACTATCCAGTGATTCTGTAAATGATATAAAATGCAAGTTAAAAAAAGCCTTTAGTACATACAGTTGTTCAGTAAAGCAGTTGAACGGATATATGAAAATGTTGATAGGAAATCCAGTACAAAACAATAATCAAACATAAACCATACCAATCCGCAGTATACATTATTTTAGTCTATAATAATTCTATACTCCCAAACAATTCTGAAATACCTCTCTTTAAGTTTCTAATCTCAGTCCACTTACTAAGTCTTCTGAGCCAAAAAGATGCCATCCTGTAGTACTAGAAGGAACAAACATTTCTATTAATGTATTCTGATGCATCACCACAGCACATTTTGAGTATGGCACTGGATATGGCAACTTCTACAGGGGCAGCACAGTTGGCACAGTGATTAACATCGTTGCACTCAGCACTAGTGTCCTAGATTCAATTCCAGACATGGGTTGCAATCTGTTTTGAGTTTTTATTATCTCCTGGTGTTTGTGTGGGTTTAATCTGGGTACTCTGGTTTCCTCCCACAGTCCAAAGGAGGTCCAATAACCAGTGCCAGATTTCCCATTAGGCACTGTAGGCTAAGAAATATTTAGGGCCTACGTAGGAGGGAAACACTAGTGACTAACGAAAAACGAGCTGAAACAACATGTTTACGATTGATTCTAGGCATCCAAATCAATAATCATACGCTATTTAGCGGCTGTTCTAGAAACTAGAAGTATCGACGTGATGATTGCTCGACTCGCTCCATCAATCACACGGTTTAGCATTAGAATAATTTAAAGTGCATCATGTCAGTCAACATAATTCAATTGACGTTTACCCCTCTTTTTGCACATTTCTGAGTGAAAGTGCCCAGGGCGTATGAAAACCAAAATCCACCCCTGACAGTAAGTGGTAGGTTAATTGGTTTTGGATAAAACTGGTCCTAGTATGAGTGTGAGTCTGTGTGTGCCCTGTCATGGACTGGCATCCCATCCATAAACCATCTTATATCTGTTGCTTGCTGGGATAAGCTCTGGCTACCCTGCATCCCTGAACTGGCTGAAGCCAAAAGAAAATGGATAGATGGGTAATAAACAGCATGAGATAAAAGATTCAAGGTTTTCATCACTATCCAAAATAATCAGTTTACTAAATTACATCATGCATGATATTAAATCTCGTACAACTCGTTCATCCAACTTTGCTCTGGACAAATTACAGTAACAAAATGAGTATAAAGGACGAATTAAAAGGAATAACCTATTTAATACTTTAAAACTCATCTCAATGAGGAAACAGTAGCGCTGGCCAAAGATCAGTGCTATTAAAACCCCCGAAACAATCCCCAAAATTCTGATACAGATTTCTTTAAAAATGAAGTTAATGGACTAAGCTGCAAACTTCTGCGGGAATTGATCAGAGAATATGAACTGTAGCATGGAGTAAATGAAGAAGAAACATGAAGGAAACAGGCTTGAGCTTTCTTTGTTTGAGGAGACTCACATATGTAATGTTTTGGAGGAATGCAGATGGGAGAATGAATTAAAAGAGAAGAATGCATGATTCAGGTGATGGAACGCAAGTCAGAATACTCAGGTAATAGTACTTGAGATTGGAACTCATGATGGGAAGCAGAACACATTCATTAATGTGTCAGTTAACATCGCACCAATTGAATACCCATAGAGGGGAGTAAAGTGATAGGAGGACCCATATTAAAGGAACCTGAGCTGCATCATGGGAGAAGGCACCAGTGATGGCAAGGACTTTTAACGAGGAGGCCCACAACCAGTGCACACTGATACTATGCTCTCATACCCTTAGGGGAAGTGAGCATCAGCAACCTACTGGGACAGGAGGACTGAGGAAAGGAGAGAGACTAAAAATTGAATGCTGGGGCATTTGTGCAGTAGATTGGATGCTCAACACTATTGACAAAAGGGTGGGTGATGTAGGAAAAGAACAGAGTGAGCAGGATTAGGTGGAGAGAGAAGGTGGGGAAAGAGAGATGAAGTTGGGTGCCATTGTGTAGAGATCCAGGAAGGGCTGACATGATCAGGAGAATTGAAATTGAAAGTTTTGCATGGAGAATTTGAAGTTGAAGAGCTGCTTGTTCAAGAAGAGGAAGAAAGTTACTCCATTCCTGTTTAACAAGACAAAGGTAAGGTCATAGCAATACAGAGTGTGACAGACATCTACCTACAATAAGACTGAAGTGCTGAGTGCTAAAAAAGATGTTGCAGGCTGCCAGAGAGTATTTCTATATTGTAGAGAAAAAGTGCAAGAATAGACTTCCTCCTGAATATTGTAAAGTAATACAGTTTCTTAGTTATTTCCATCATTACATTATATAAATACATTCATATTTCCATCAAAGATAAATATTATTCTAAGTACATCTCTACGTAATTGTGTTAAACTGCAGGATGAAGAAAATAACAGCCTTTCTGATGAAGACATTCGG